TCCACGGGCCCTTGACCGTGGGCACGGCCTTGACGAAAGAGCCAATGATGTCGTCTTGGGTCTGGTCGAGGCAGGCGGTGACGGCCTTGAGGTATGTGGCGCGGTACGTCGTGACTGCCGTGCTCGCAGGAACGTGAAAGATACCAGAGTTACCGCCCGCCATCGGGTGGACGTATTCGTGGTAGATGCCGTGGCGGGCATACGTGGCGGTCGCGGCCACAAGCGAGAGGATGACGGAGCGCAGCATCGTCGTTGGTGGTGGTTGCGGCTTTTGTGAAAAAGCAAAAGTGAGAAAGCGAAAGCCAAAGCTGTCGGGTTAACAGAACCACGAGAGACAAGAGGCCGGAACCATCGGGGTGCGTTCGACCAAGCCATTGACGCCGGCTAGAATATCGAAGCGGTTGTGCGTCGAAAGACCACCTTGGCTGCCGGGATGCCACGTCACGGATCGGAACATGCAGTAGCGCTGCCGGCCTGCATATGGACTAGCTATTGCGTTCCTACCGTGACGCGTAATGGCAGAAAGCGTTGCATCGTCGCTTCCGAGTTCGCCCAAGGGCCGCGAGAAGCTACTTGTGGGCGTCACTTCGATGCACGAGCCTGCGAGCAGGTGCTATGGCCGAAACATCAAGGGGACAGCGAAACCATGCGAGAGAAGAGGATCCCTGGTCCGCTCACAGGGCCAACGAGGAAGACGCTTTCGAATCAAACCATCCACGGCAGTGCTGTAGAGGCATGTGGTTCTCGAATAGCCCAGTAGTACGATCGAGTCGAATTCACACTCAATACGGTTCGCTTGCTCACGTGGAAGAAGCATCCATAGATAGTCCTTTCCCACCCAGCGATCCGCTTGAGCCGAGCGGTATGATTCCTGCTTCCACCTCCAGAGGTCGCCGGTTCGATCCCGACGCGCCGATTCTTTCTATCCGGACATCGCCCCCATCCGGACACGAATGTCACTGAAGAAGGTCACCATAATAAGGCAACACTCGGCATGTGCAACAAAGTACACAAGGAAGAAGCGCGATGAAACGGCTCATTTAGTAGGGTTAAACGTCAAATGCACCCGTCTGAATCACCATCCAGCGATCTTGTGCGGTACGCTCGTCGCAAGAAGACATGTGTGATGAAACACTGCATTGCACTGCTGTTTCGCATACCAGATGTTTCTCTTAATATTCTGTCTCAAAAACAGTGTACGTCCCCTGCCCACCAACACAAGACAGC